ATTTCTGAGTGCATGTCATATAGCAAGTATTAAGATTTGTAATTCGGGAGTCCGAAATACCCAAAGTAGACTTTTCTTGAATCTAGGGTTTAGCATCCCCACTTGGATAAGTACCAAGTAACAGTCATGTGACTCATGAGTCATGTCTCAATGTCACACTCCAATTAATACCAAACAATTCTCCTTCCACCTAAAGTGGCATAAGAATCGGTCCTCCTTGTAAGTAGCTAGCCAAATCTAACTACCACCAATCTATTATCATATATTTCTCCTTTTGAGTTGAAGGACAATAATTTTTATATATATTTTTTTTACCTATTTCTTTATAGTATGATGGGGAGAAACATCATGTATATGTGATCATATATCAAACGTTTAATTGCATATATACCTTTCGTATCATGCGTGAGGATATAATTGTCAAAGAACCGTTCTACTGTATCAAAACTCCGAAATTGTGATGAAGATTGAAAGTTATACTTCTATACTTTAACCATGCTTCCATAGGTTGAGAGTCCTTTTATAGCCTAGACTCAAGTAAAATTCATGTCCGGGAAGATCGAACTTTGGTTGTTCGGATTATAATTTTATACTCAAACATTAATAATCACTTACGCCTAATACACTATTTTATTAACATTGATATTTTCTTATTCCAATTTTTAATTTATCTTTCTTAGGTTAATACGTCAGGTAAGAATTAAATAATGTTCAAAGATAATGTCACCTAAGTTATAAGAAATGCGTACGTATAAGCGCTAATAGAATAGTTCACATGGTATAAGTGGTTGAATCTCACTAGCTAGTAATTAAAGAAGGTGTGTGTGCAATTAACCCTTGATTAAATCTAATTGTTACCGTGTCATATTATCATATGTTTTTATGAAGTTTCAACGTACATGAGTTGTTACATAATTAGCCATAAGAAAACAAAAAGTTATCCACATGGATAGCCGCTTAATCATAGACATGTTGTAGCAAGTAGCAATGCATCACATCCTTCTAATAAACACAACCAACTCCATTCTATCCAGCGACATATGTTAATATTACCAAATTTAATACCATCTCTTTCCCGATTTTAAAGCCATGGGATGATGCAGGCACAAAAAGAACAACAAATTGTTACAACAATACACACCTTTTTGCATAGAGAAGCATTAGAATATTAATTAGATGCACAGTTCAATTAAACAAGCTGCCCAACTGCCTTCATCCTAATTTGTGGTCCACACTTTTTCAAGGCCAAGGGTGGGGCTAGCAATTCAAAGTTTTGGACTTGGATCATGGTTTAATGCGTGTGGGGTCAGCAAAAGTGATAGGTTATTTTGTTGTTTATGTGAGTGATTTGATGTATAAGAAATTGCCATATTTTAGTAGCAAACTCCACAGTTTTAGGTAAAAGATGGCTTTGTAATTTCTCTTTCAAGAAAAGGATTAACCCTTCAACATGCTTCCATGAACAGCACAGATCACTCTTCTATATGTGAGTGTTTTGCTAAATGTTGGCAGTCCTCAATTATTTTGTAAGAAATGGAAGTTATTGTGGAATAATAACTCAGATATCATATTAATCTAGCGGAGGATAATTTTTTTTGAAGTAGACCAAATCCAATATTTGTCTAGCCATTTCAACCAATTTGCTGTCTATTTACAAAAAGCGAAATCAGTTTTTTAACAAAAATGTTATTATGGAAGACTACGAGATTGTCAATCTCACATGTTTAATGAACCCTATAATGCTTGATTAGCTATTATATATGTGTTCACATATACTGAAAATGCATTGTTTTAAATCTCATAAAATCAACCATACTATCAAGAATTCCTCCAGAAGCACAAAGGCCTTCTTTTTTTTATGGGCAATCAATAATTTGGATTAAAAATGTGTAATACATGTGTTTAGATGTATACTACGATTTATTGCAGCTGCCTTGTCACTTTACAGGTTCATACTTCATGATCCGACTAGCAGTAGGTACAATGTATTATGATTCATATTTATTTCAAACCCCACATGGACCCCAGATTTTGTGGGGGTTCCTCACGCAATAACAAATCTTCTGTTCTTCCATCATGATTGGAACCAAAAAACAAAAAAAAAAAGGTCTTCTAATCCTTAAATAAATATTGTAATAATTCATGATTCGTCACAAGGAAACAATATATAAGAATCCCACTAAATTCCAGCAGAACAAACAAATACATGGCCAGGTCAAATGCAACCACCCTATCGTTATCTATCCCTGAAAATCTTTCTCCATCATCTTTCATCATTCCGAAATTCCATTTGCAGAATATACAAACCAAACACCCAAAAAAAAGGTAAAGTGGTGTTATTTGTTTGGTATTGTTAGGCATGTAAAATCATAACTCTTAACCCTCATTATAACTTTGGAGTTGTAGTATAATGAAGAGGACTTTAAGATGGTATCAGCGCAGCCGGGGTCAATTCCCACTAATGCATTAAAAACACTCCGTTTATAATTAGTACCTAGGCCATCTACCTAGCGCCTAGTGTCCAGACAATACTTACGCTGCCTACCTAGGTTAGGGGAACATCTAAAGGAGCGTGATCTACCTATGTAGAATACACCCTTAGACCTTGATTGTGATTTCAGAGCAACCAGTACTGGGCATGAATTTAAAAACTAATTTTAAAATAAATTGATACCGGAGCAAGAGTCCCCTCATTCAAGTTGCACATGCATGGTAGAATATAAAAATATACCCCTCAACCTGCAATGTCAAGATTTTATACTTTTGGATGGATTCTTGAACTAGAAATTAGATTCTCGCACTAGAAATTAGATTCTCGAACGAAAATCTAAATTCATGGACTATCTCATAATTTTTAAATGTTCACATATATTGGAACTTTATTTTAAAATTAAATATCCAATGTTAGAGAACTCCATGCTAAATGTTCTCGAACTTAAAGTTTATGTAGAATTTTAATTAATTTTGTATTAGATTTAGGGTAATATTTATAGACAAAAAATTAAAATTAGGGCTGTCAAATCCTAATAAGAGTGAGATAAAACTTATAACAATGCCTTAATTCAAATCTATATTGCAATCCTAAATCAATAATCTCATAATTTTAAATATTAATTCTAGTCCTAAGTTAATAACAATTTAAATTAAAGTCTAAATTCATGTCCTAAACAAATAACACCTTGCATTCAACTCAGAATTCTAACCCTAAATGAATAACACCATAAGCTTAAATCTTAATCCTAATCCTAAACGAGTAACATCATCAATATAAATCGTATATACCACCTATAGAATATACTAGAATTATAATGGAAAAATACCATTATTCCATAACATAATTATGCCATGTAATTTGTATACAAATGTGTTTATACAGATGTAGCAACAGCACCAGCCCAGAATTATTTGTGCAATAGCATCAGTTCTGTAGTGCTCGATATGGGTTTTATCCAGAATGAGACTGATCATGCCATGTTTGTTCATACTTTTGATCGAGATCACACCATACTTCTCCTTTATGTTGATGATGTGGTCATCATTGGTGATGACCCTTCATTTCTAGATACCATGAAAATTTCTCTTCATCAGAAATTTGAGATGAAGGATCTTGGACATCTTTGCTGTTTTTGGGCCTCAAAGTAATATAAGGGCCACAAATAAGGGCCATAAAACTATCTTCTTTCTCAGTAGAAGTATACCTCTGATCTCTTGGTCCTCAAAGAGTTGACTGACGATCAAACTGTTCACACTCCTATTCGGCTTCATTAAAAACTTGCATTTGATATAGGAGAACCTTAGAAAAATCCTACTCGGTACCATGAACTTGTTAGCACTCTGTCATATCTCACTATTTTTCATACAGACATTGCTTATACTGTCCATGTAGTGAGTCAATTTGTTCAGTCACCTACATCAGTTCATTATGCCATTGTACTGCAAAGTTTGTGTTATTTTGTGGTACTTTATCTCAAACTCCTTTGTTCTCCTCAGTTCTCATCAACTTCAATGCTACAACTTCGTGCTTTCTCTGATTCCGATTTGGCCGATCTACGTTACTAATTGATGATCTGTTACTTGCTTCTGTACATTTCTTGGTGAAACCCTTATTTCATGGTGGGCTAAGAAGTAGGATGTGGTATGCAAATCCAATGCTAAAGTCGGGTATCGGGTTATGTTTAATACTACATCCGAGATCATTGGTTGTGACAGCTTCTACATGACATGGGCATTGATTATCTTTCTCCTACTCTCTTCTATTGCGACAATCAAAGTGCAAGAAAGATCGCCACCAATCCGGTGTTTAATGAGCATATGAAGCACATTGAGACTGATTGTCATTTCATACGTCATCATTATTCAAAAACTAAGGTTATCTCTCTACCATATGTTTGTTTTGAGCTCAAGCTTGCTGATTTTTTCACCGGAGCTCATACATCCAAGCGTCATTAGTTTTTTCTCTTTAAAATCTTAGTGTTTGATCCACCATGAGTTTTTTTTCGGGGCGGGAAGAGTAGGAATATTTTACTATATTTTGTTTATATGATATATAGAATATATGCATATATTGTATTGGGGGATGGGGGTGTGTATTAGGAATATTTTACTATATTTCGTTTCTATGTATAGATTATATGCATATATTGTTTTTTTCTTTTTTGGGTGGTGGGGGGGGAGGGGGTAGGAATATTTTACTATATTTTATTTCTATGTAGAGATTATATGCATATATTGTATAAGATATTATATTATATACCATATTTACCTATAAAATGTTGTGGAATAATGATGGAATAATACCATTATTCCATGCCATAATTACGTCTGTAACTTTTATGCAAATGTGTTTACACAATGAAGAGGAACAAGCCTTCTTCCTCAAATATTTTTCTCAGTTATCAAATCCTAAGACTTAAAGAAGTCATACTCTTACCAACTATGGTCTTAAACCAAAATACTATAAAAAGTCATGGCCCTCAATGAGTAACCCCTGCTATGATTTTTCCAATGGCATGATTTTTCGTGGGCTCCACCTTCTCTCCCCGCAAGATATAGCCTTTAGGAAACAAGTAGTTTCTGGGGAGGCAAAAAAGAGCCAATGGGTGTCTCCTCTTTATCTCTCTCCTTCCTTCTATTGGTTTCCTCACTAATCAATCTCAATGCTGATCAAGATTCTGATAGAATCTCAAGCCTCCCAGGCCAACCCCCAGTTGAGTTCGCTCAATACTCAGGTTACGTGACTGTGAATTCAACTGCTGGCAGAGCTCTATTCTACTGGTTAATCGAAACTCCGAAGAACTCTGAAACTGCGCCTTTGGTTCTCTGGCTCAATGGTGGCCCTGGATGTTCTTCGGTCGCTTATGGTGCTTCTGAGGAGCTTGGCCCTTTCAGAATTCATCCTGATGGAAAAACCCTGTTCTTGAACAAGTACGCTTGGAATAGAGGTATAAGTTTTGACATCAATTACTGAAGTGGGTCTGTGTCAAAATTTGAACTTGTTTGGTGTTTTTTGTGGCAGTTGCTAACATACTATTCCTGGATTCGCCTGCGGGAGTTGGATTCTCGTATTCCAATACGTCTAAGGATCTTTACACCGCTGGTGATGCCCGTACAGGTTGTTAGTCTCTCTGATCGATTTTAATTTGTTTTATATAATTAGAGAAGTTAATTTTTGTGACGTTGGATTGAAATTTTTGTTGATGTAGCTAAAGATTCTTATACGTTTCTGGTGAATTGGCTCGAGAGGTTCCCTCAGTACAAGTACAGGGACTTCTACATTGCAGGAGAGAGTTATGCAGGTACATGATAAAGGCTTCTCTCCTTTTGTTACAATTTTTTATAACTTTTGAAACAGAGAAAGTACGATTATTTTAAATATAATATTGGATAGTTTGTCTTCTAACGAGGTGTTGCAATACTGAGAGCAATATTCTTTTTACTTTATTTTGAAGAAAGATTTTTTTTTACATTTATTTGGGCTGTTCGATCTAGTCATGTTGTGCTCACGGATATCTAGTTCTGTAAGAATTGATTGCTTGTAGTATTTTTTTTTTTCTGGTCAATATTCATGAGATTATATGATATTTTCAGCATGAAAACAAAATTGTCACTGTGATTTAGACTTTTTGTATGGTTATAAAGTTATGATCATGACCAAACAACCACATAGACATAAAATGCCAAAATCGAAATCTTTTCTTTAGTCATGAAAAATGTTAATCTTTGTTTTTTCTCTTTTGAATCATTATCATTCAATTATTCTATGTCTATATCTGAAAAGATATTCTAATTTTCTCTAATCTTCTTTATACTTTTTCCACATTATTATTATTATTATTATTGTTATTGTTATTTTGTCCATATGCATGAGAACATATAATTCTTCTTGTAAGTAAACATATTAAACTTTTTATGTAATTTACAAATTTCATTAATTTGACTAATTAGTCGCATAATCAAAAATTCCAGAAGCGAGATCGTTTCTTTAGTTGTTAAAAACTTTTCTTCGACTTTTGGCTTTGCGGATCATTACTATTTAACTTTTCTCTATATTATATCATTCTTTTTCTTTATTCTTCTTTTGAATATTTTGTACTCTTTCATTTGTTTCACATTTCGTCCCTCTATTTGCATTTCAGGACATTATGTTCCACAACTATCCCAGCTCGTTTACAGAAATAACAAGGGAATTCAGAAACCCATAATTAACTTCAAGGGATTTATGGTACTCTATATGCCTCTTTCATTCATTCACATACTCAATAGTGAAAAAGTCTGAACAATTCATCAATAATGCTTTTTTCTTTTCAGGTGGGCAATGCTGTAACTGATGACTATAATGATTTTGTGGGAACTTTTGAGTACTTGTGGACTCATGGATTGATATCTGACAACACTTACCATCAACTGAACATAAAATGTGATACCCAAGTATCACAGCATCCCTCAAATGAGTGTAATGATGTATATGAAATTGCCGATAAGGAGATGGGTCATATTGATCCTTACAGTATTTACACCCCACCGTGCAATAATTCTGGGTCTCAAAGAGGCAACCGAAGGGGCCATTATGTAAGTTATTATGAATCAATTATTAACAACCAAAAAGAAAAAAACTTTTTTTTTCTTTTTCTTTTAGTATTAAGGAGAATACCATCATTTTTATTTTAATTGTTTATTGATTTAGCTAATGTTTTTTTTATTTATATTCGGTAGTAACAGGCTTTGATTCAACTAGGAGGGTTGCTTTTGAAAGAAATAGATTTAACATGAACTGATACATTGATTTGTGCAATAATATGAATTTTTTGCTTTTGAAAGAAATAGATTTAACATGAACTGATGCATTGATTTGTGCAATAATATGAATTTTTTTTATACTATATATTACTAAGATCAAATGATCAGTATCCTACTGAAAAGCAGTTAGCTCCCTTATAATAATCAGTGTCTTAGTTTCTCAAAAGATGTATGATGTCCAATGTTTTAGGCGGATAAACTTGGTGAAGTAATATATTTATGTACAATTGTACAATATTATGTGTTTAGATGCTCTAAACTACTAAGATCAAATGATAAGTATCCTGTTAGATTCTATGACAGGATTCAACTTGCTTGTAGTCATTAATGGCCTACTTGCCAAATAATGAGCCTAAACACTTTCTGTTCACAAAGCACACGTTTAGTTGGTACCACCGAGCCAAATAAGTTGTAATATAATTCACATAGTTGAAGATCAAATACGTCTTCAAAAATTATTGACAGGAAGAAAAAATAATTTTCCTTTTTATCACAGCCTTGGTTGGTAAGAGCTTACGATCCCTGCACTGAGAGCCACTCAAAAATATACTACAACCGTCCTGAAGTGCAAAAAGCACTCCACGCAAATGTTACAGGAATAAAGTACCCGTGGGAGACATGCAGGTTCGTTATTTAGCATAAGTTCTAATTAATTGTGATTCCCAATTCCATTCGTAGCCTACAGTGCCAAGAAATCTTTTCTGTAGCTTACGCTGTCGAGAAATCTTTTTACAAATTGTTATTGATCTTATGAACAGTGATACTGTCGGTAACAACTGGGGAGATTCTCCAAAATCCATGCTTCCTATTTACAGAGAGCTTATCGAAGCCGGCACAAGGATTTGGGTCTTCAGGCATGTTTTTTGTCAGTGACATATATAAGGGGTAACTAATAAATTGGTGTGACTGCATAGACTAATGTTTGTATAATCATAATTGCAGTGGAGATGCAGACTCAGTAGTTCCTGTAACTGGAACAAGATACTCTATCGACGCGCTGAACCTCACAACTCTTGCAAATTGGCATCCTTGGTATGATCATGGGCAGGTAATATGAACTTCACGATCAACATTTCCTTATATATAGTTTTGCTCTCTAAAACGTATGTTGCTAGTTATTTACTTACAGCCTTCGGTCATTTTTATACATGTTTCACTGTTTCAGGTTGGAGGATGGAGTCAAATATACAAGGGGTTAACGTTGGTAACGGTTAGAGGAGCAGGACATGAAGTCCCCTTGCATCGCCCTCGACAAGCTTTGATTCTCTTCAGACATTTCTTATTGAATAGGCCTATGCCTACAGGACTTAGCCCAAATTAGACGATGTGGGCTAAGAAACGAAGAGAGGCCCAAGACAGCCCTCTCCTCTTTCCAATCATATATTCTTTCTTTAGGCATTTTTCTGGGCAATCTCCAGTCAATAAAAGTGGAGAAATCTGTACTTATATTGGACTAGCATGCCACACATGTGGGTTGCACGTGCCGTACTTTTAAATAATACGTTCTATATTATTGATTCTTAAATATTTACTTATAATATATCATGAACAAAAGTTACAAAGATCACTAAATAAAAACTTATTAAATGTCTAGAATCTTATTGGAAAAGTAAAAATTGTTATTAGATGCAAAGTCACAAAAGCTATAATAGCAAGATAGAATAACAACTGATATAAATATATTGTTTGAATAGCTCAGTTCATGGAAATTGTATAGGTCAATTTTTTTAATCCAAATTAAACAAACTCAATCAAAAGACAAATTAGTCTGGATTTCATATATATAAGAAATCGAAATTTTTAAGCAATTCAATCAAGTATATCATATGTAGGTTTGTGTATTCTAATTTACTCAATGAGTAGAAGATAAAGCCAATATGTTTTATTAGTTAATATTTGTAGCCTAAAGTTGATAGGAACAAAGAATTTATTGGTGGTTAATCAAAAAGAAGACAAAGAAAGTTTTGTGATTCAAGACAATGATTAATGAAAGAACATAAAAAATGCTTAATAGAGGTAAGAAAATCAAAAGGACAAGAAACATTGAAAATATTGGATAACTTAATAGCACATCTGAACTTAAAGTGCATATGAACCAAGTAACTAGTTAAGAATTAAACCGTGAATACATCTAATGAACAAAGAAAACACAACTTATAACCCATATTCAAAAGAAAAAGCACAATTTAATTATGATAAATATTACAATAAGCTCTTTACAACATCATGCAAGGAAAAATCTATAAATAGCTTTGCATAAACTCAAAAAAAAATAAGATTATATATTCTTTCTAATTATTAAAAGATCAATAAAAATCTTACCTAATCCACAGCCCAAAAAAGCACATAATAAAACAATCTTTGGTTCTTAAATCAAATGTATACATACTCTTAAATATCAAAAATTTCAAATAATAATCTTTCTATAATCTGTTATCCTTCTCTTTTCCAAGGATTCAAGAGATAAAACACAAATCAAGAGCTATGAATTGAACATAAGACATAGTCTTCAACTCCATGTAAAATAATCTTCTTCAAACCATTTGACAAATATCATCCAATATATGCACGTGCACATACATATACAAGCTACATACACTATAAAACATTTGACAAACTTTCCATATAACATATTGTGTAAACCATTGTGTTGGCGTAAGAATTTAGCTTAGTAGGTGATGTGGTGGGTTTAAGAGAATGGATGATTGTTATTTATAGTGTAGAGATGAAAAAGAGGTTATGTAAAGAGAAAATTGCTGAAGAAACACTTGCATGATGAGTGTAGGCATCAAAAAATGCTAATAGATATCCCAAACATAGAGAAGATCATCAGAAAATCACTTCATACTGTCTTTGGATAAAAAATCAAAACAGATATGAACTGTCTCGCCAACGAGACAGTGTACGCTGTCTCGCCAGCGAGACAGTGTTGAAATGGTCAAAACCACCTCTGTAACTGCCCTACATGTGTCCATTAACTGCCAAGGAACGTGGAAAACATCGTGGGCGAAAATCACGTGAATAACTGCCAAAATAACGGAGTTTGAAACATGGGAAGGCAGTTAAAATGAAAACTGCCTGCGGTTACTGTTTCCGAGACAGTATTTACTGTCTCTCGGGCCGAGAAGCGAGACAGTAAACACTGTCTCGCCAGTCTAATTTCGTCGTTTGTTGAGTTTTTTCAGTTATGAACTCCAGAGGCTATAAATACCCCCCTAGGGTCATTTCTGACGAGGATCGAGCATATTTTCAAGCAATCCAGAGCAGAGAGAGCAGATTTGAATTTTCGTGCAACTCCTTGAAATTAAGCTTTGACTTGATTTTAAGAAGAACGACTATCTTACTTTGATAAGATATCGTTTCAAGTTCTTACTTCAATAAACGAAGTCAGAATCATTAAACCCCCTTCACGATCTGTGATTCGGCGGTCAACGAGCCAAAGCACTCACGACACATGCAAAGTCCCACAAGACAGGAGTTGATAGACAATTTCTGTGTTATTTTCTCGAAAGTTGTATTTTCATTTATTTTCATTGTAATTTCGTGTAAACAAATTAAAGTTTAATGGAATCGACAATGGAGTCAACTTTCGCTGAAAACAAACTGGCGACCATAGTGGGAGCCAGCGGCCTCGCTGCCGAGGCCGTGGTGTCGCAACCGATCAAGATCGTTGTCAATGAAGAGATCGAATATGAATTCGATCAAGCAAAGTTTGAAGAGTATTTGTCATCCTCATCTGCGAAATCTTCCTCGTCTCGCAAATATAGGAAGATTTCACCTTTCAAGAAAACTTTCAAGTCTGCAATTCCAACGGAGACCGCAGGCGAAGATTCCTGCCCGACTGCTGCTAAGGAATCTCCTTGCGACATCCCTGCTCAAAACGACTCTACACCCGTTACGGAGTCGTTGATCAATAGCTCACCGGTGCTGACGAAGAGAGCTCGTCAGAGACAGCGCCAGCGCCGTGCTCGTCAATTGGCTAAGGCCATGCAACAAACCGACAGGGTCCATTACTATGCGGACCTAGAGTCGAGGAAACAGAAATGCGTCGTCGGTGAAACCCTGGGTTAGCCCAGATTTGTCTAAGTTTAAGATCACCATGGCGGATCGCCTCGGTCCTTCGGCTGATGATCGAGGCAAAGCCCCAGTTAAAGAACCGTCAGATCCTGTAAATAAACCCGTAGTGATTTCATATACAGGGGGTCGTAAACACCCTCCTGTCAGAACTGCACAAATCTGAAACGAGAGAATATCAGTCCACTCTCGTTTAGGACCTATGAAAACCCCACTCCTGCAAAGGGGTGGATTTAAAAATTCAACTTTGGATCGCCCAGAGGCGACGACCAGTCGTCCTGTACATGTTAACAAAGTTCAAAGGCAAAAGATAGGTTGCTCGAATCACAATAATGATGAGCTGTACTATCAGAAAGATAACTCAAGAAAGAGAGTTGTCAGAGAAAACGAGTCTCATTGCGCTTGCGAGAGACTCATTAAAGCAGTGTTGACAGAATGTGGATGCTCTAAGAATAATTCAACAAGAGTCTCCGTATTTCAAAGATTGTCCAATGAAGCGTCAAGACCCAAAACAAGACGTTTCAATAAAAAGAAACCTGTAATCCGACAAGATGAGTTCCCTGAGGTCACTATCAACATGACCAATAAAGGAAAGCAAAAGTCAGTTAACTACGACCCCGATTTCTCTCCGGGAGGGAGAGTTGAGCGGGGTCTTTCTCAAAGAATGTCGCGGTTACAAAGAAGAGCCAACCTACGTCGAGATTACAAGAGAATGCACGGGGGGCTCTCTTCAGATGAAGAAATGTCAGATACCTGTTCCGCCATTGCATCGGACGATACCGCGTCCAGTGTTGGGCAAGTCAGAGAATCATTTATAATCACGCCGGATCAACTGGCTCATATCCTGCAGGAGGCGTTGGCTAAACAACGCGAAGAAATTAGAGCTGAGTTCAAAACCGAAATGGAGTTGACTATGCAGCAAATGCGAGACTTGCAGGTTCAGCAACACCAACCGGAATCGAGCCAGAAGGTGGAATTAAGTCGACGTAATGAAGAGGATGAGACTATCTTTGACGATCCTCCTCCAGATAAAGACAACTCCGGAAGCGGTCCGACCAAGTCATCCACTCAACCTCCACAGATCTACTTGAAGAAAAACGAGAAAGAGGACAAGAAGATGCATGATCTCGAGAGCAAAGTCAACGCTCTGATGACGGCTCAAGAAGTGAAGAAAACGGGCATTCCATACCCATACCCGAGGGAGTGGGACCTGATTCCTTATCCCCAGACATTTAATTTGATTAACTTTACTCCTTTTGATGGCAGGGGTTCACCAACTCAGTACTTGATCTATTTCAAGTCGCATCTCGGCGCAATATCCGGGAACGAAGCCCTGATGGTCCGGTCATTCGTAGGAACCCTTCGCGGGCCTGCCTTCGATTCATATCGACGCCTTAAGCCCGGGAGTATCACTAGCTGGGAGGATATGGAAGAACTATTCCTCACCAATTTCTTCGACGACGACACAGAGGTCTCAATTGGCACGTTGTTGGATGAGAAGCAGAAGGATGGGGAATCAGTCGATGTCTTTGTCAAACGATTCCGGGACAAAGCGGTGAACTGTAGAGATCCACTTACAGAGGAATTTATTCTGCAAACTTGTCATAATAACCTGTCCTTGGATGTATTAGAGGTCATGGGGGTTGTGCCCTCTAAAACTTGGAAGGAATTGAAAGTGAGAGGTGAACAGGCTGAACGCTTTCTCAAGAGAAAGAACTTGGAGAGAGGTCTGCCACCAGCTAATAATCAAAAGCAGAACTTTAATCCTCGGGGCAGAGGAAGAGGGTCCACGGTAGCTGTGGATGCACATCAAACGTCGTAACAGCCGCCGCAACAACAACCGCAGCAGTCAGCCTTCCAGTTGGCACCAAATCAGAATCAATAGCCTCCGAGACAACCCAAGACTTCAGAGCCCAGATTCCCGAAGGAATACTATTTCAAAGATGATGAATTTCCAGTCATTTTCAAATACTTGTTGGAGAATAACAAGATCAAGCTTCCACCGGTCACAAACCAAGAAGAAGCAACGAAGACCAATGACCCGAAGTATTGTGCCTATCACAGGAGGGTCCACCATCCTACTAAGACGTGTTATGTCTTAAAGGACAAAATACAAACATTAATTGATGTTGGTATTGTGACACCGAAGCCAAAGGAGAAGAAAGTAGGCACAAACGCGGTCTCAATTAGCTTCGGATCGGTTCCTTTGTCCTGGTGGCGACAAGTGCTCCAAAGCAAAACTTCGTCCCACGGGGGAAAGGTAAGGCACAAGCTAATGCAGTTGACGCTAATCAAACCTTTCAATTGCAACCATAGCAGCAACAGTCGCAGCAACAAGCACCCCAACAATCTCGAGGACAATGGCAACAACGGCCTCAGAAGCAAAAATCTGCGGAGCCGAGGTTTCCTAAAGTGTACTCCTGGAGTTTCAGCGATTCCCGAGAAGAACGA